AGCTTTAGACACTAATATTATATGTAAGAAAGTGAGTTTGTTTTTTACTTATCGACACTTTAACAACCTAACCAATCGCTTAGTACATACACATTGTATTTTAAACGGAGACGTAAATAGGCGTTTTAGTAAAAAACTAATTACATATATTATAAACGACTTACTTGTAAAGGCATACAGTAGAAAATTGTATGATGCTATATAATTTTCAAATAGTACAAGCGCTAATATCAGAAAATGACCTTCAACATTTCAATAGTCCTTTGTTAGCATCTGAGAGAAAATTTATAAAAGAAATGCCTTTATTGTCGTATCTTTGAAAAATTGCATCGTTCTACAAGGCATTCAGGGCGTTATAATTAATTGAATGGAAGTACTAGCTGATGGATTATGTGTCGTCTTGATAAAGCACCTCCGTTATATACAGGGTGTTGATAGTGGAAACCTAAATTCGAGGAGTGATTTATATTGTTGCGCAATAACTTTGGTATTTTGGGTTAGCAAATAAGAAGCTACTAGAGAACATACTGTATACTAGATGCGTAACCGTATAGTACCTTTTTTATGGGGTGAAAATTAAATAGTGACTCCATCTGTTATATCGGTATTTAGTGACAAAGTCCCAGTGAGGGATAAATGAGGATGAAGCAGATCAGCTGGCCTATTGCGAGGAATTCAACAATGATTAACTACGATAGTTTCCAGAAGAAACTGTATGGAGGTCGACTTAATACTGCTAACAATTCCTTTTTCCTGGGGGGAAAGGGATTGTTAGCGATAGGGTCTAACAGCCCCAATGCTGGCAATGCTACTAATCAGGTCGACCTCCACGTGGTTCCCCCTGGAAACCATCGTGGTTACTTCTCGTGGAATTCTTCACGATGGGCTAACAGACCTGCTTTTATCGTCATTTATTATCTATCACTGGTGCCCCGTCAGCGTATACCGTTAGCGTAGGCAGGGTTACTATTGCATTATCACTCATTAAAAAAGAAATCCTTTTTCCTCACCGTATAATACTACTCATCTAAAAGTGGCTCTTTGTGATATAGTTTATCGGTGGCCTTTACTGTGTACGATGGTCTCTGACGTGGCCTAATGACGTGACGCGACGTGGCCCTTTGGAGTATGAAGCGATGTGACAATCATTTTATTTTCTACCTACCAACCTACCATCATACCTGAATTTATCTGTGTTTTATATAGCAGAAGACGATACTCCAGTTTAAAGTATACCATCGTTTTCTATTGAGAACTTAGAGTTTCGTAGATTCAGTTTTAGTCACACTCTGAATGTATGAAATCCCTGTAGCTTAGAGAGAACTCATTATTTTTACAAGATATCCATCTTCTACAGACACTTATCTTCTGGTAAACCACTTCATGGTTTTTTTTTTCACAATTATTCACACAATTCACACCACCTTCGTGTTTATGTATGCATTTTGAGAGGGACACTGCTGCCCATCCCAAGACCATTAAGTTTTATTATATATGTAATAAAACTTATAATATTTTTATTAATGTCGTTCCAAAAGCTTGACTCTAGAGGGCAGCACCCATATTTGAATAATAGTAGTAATATTTGGTTTAATTAAAACACTAAAATCTCATACAAATACACTACGAATATAAATTAAGAAATGAGAATTCGATACCCACAAAATAAACACTTATTAATCGTTGTTTTAGTTAAGGGGATGTTTCATTTAATTACTTTCAATTTTGCCGATAATCAGAAGGTTGCGTAAATCAATCTGATTGGAATGAATGGATCTATTAAACGACATACAGGCCTTTGATTTGGTGAACATTACATATCTAGTGAATTTATTATTAGAATTTCAAAAAATGGGTTATGTTTTTGTTAGGTTTGTGACTATGTTCCGTGATATCGTCTTTTTCATTGTTTTTGCTAGTTGTAAAGTCCATACGTACGAAGACGCGGGTAAAAAGCTAGCTTTTAATATAGGTTATTGAAACATCGATTATTTGTGTTTGTGATAACTGACTAAGACTATTAGTAGAAAAATATGAAAAAAATAAATAAAAGGGTTGTATATTAAAAAGATTTAATATACAACTGTGTACTTATCCCATAGTGCCTCTATGGGATGTTATACAATTAATAAGGAATTCTCAATAAAATAGGAGTTTGAGAATAACATTTTATGATTCATATTGAAAAAGAATTTTAATGATTGTGCCATCTTCAAGTAACAGCAATAATCCTTACTTATAATATTATGAGAAAGTGGATTTGTTTGTTTGTAGCTTTATAGCGTCTTAACAGCTTAATCAGTCATCTCTGAAATTTGTAACTATCCATAAAATTTGGTATATACATGCCTATGGAATAGAAAAGCATATAGGCTACTTTTTATTCCAGTCAGTGAGCATATCCCGGACGAGCGGAAGAAGTCGTAGTTAAAAGCTTGTCTAATATATAAAATTCTCGTGTCGCGGTGTTTGTTACCAAACTCCTCCGAAACGGCTTTACCGATTTTTATGAAATTTTGTGTGCATATCGGGTAGGTTTGAGAATCGGCCAACATCTATTTTTTATACCCCTCAATCATAAGGGTGACCTACCCCTAAATATATTTTTTTTTATTCTTTTGACAAAATTGTTTTATTTTTATTTTATTATAATTTAGCATTGAAAAATACATACAAATTCAAATTTTTTTATATACCGCAATAGGGTTGCAAGATGGCAATCTAATATAATAATTGTAGTAGGATAAATTTTCATGTAAAGTTCTCGAAATAATATATATGGTAAAACAACGTTTGCCGAGTCAGCTAGTAATCTATAATTGTATGAGGACGTCCACTTTTTACGTTAACTAAATTATGTAGATACCGAAATTAATAATATATATATAATTCATGAAAGTCTAAAGTTATATTTTCAAATTTTCACCGCAAAAAAGACACCGTTTGTCGTATCTCCTTACTTTCGGGGCACTTCCCTCGATAATAAGTCGAGTCTGGGGATTCTTGGCGTCAATATATCTAGCGACGTCCAGTTTTGCGGTCATCTGGAGGAAAAAGCTAAGATAGCTTCCAAAAAGTTGGGGGTGCTCAATAGGGTGAGACGGTATTTCACGCCAGAAAACCGCCTGAAACTATATAAGGCTCAAGTGAGGCCACACATGGAATACTGTTCTCACCTGTGGGCAGGAGCGCCACAGTACCAACTCCTTCCGTTAGACCGCATTCAAAGTCGGGCAGCTCGAATTGTTGACGATCGGCGTCTTACTATCCGGCTCGACCCACTGGAACTGCGTAGAGATGTTGCATCTCTGTGCATTTTCTACCGAATTTATCATGGGGAGTGTTCTGAAGAATTGTTCGGATTGATACCTGCTGCAGATTTTCACTATCGTACAACCCGCCATAAACTAAAATTTCATCCCAACCATCTGGACAAGTGGCGGTCCTCCACCGTGCGTTTTTCAAGGCATTTTCTCCCACGCACAACCACTCTTTGGAATCAACTTCCAGCAGCAGTATTTCCGAACCGATACGACAACATAACCTTCAAGAAAAGAGCATATTCCTTTTTAAAAGGCCGGCAGCACACCTGCAATGCCGTAGGTGTTGTGGGTGATCATGGGCGGCGGTAGTCACTTACCATCAGGAGAGCCGCATGCTCGTTTGCCTCCTGTGTTGTAAAAAAAAAAAAAATATACAGACTGGTAATCACGGAAAAAATAGCGAGATGTACTAAAAAAATGATTTTTTACACAACTAAAAACACTTAGGCAAAGGAAACTCGAAGAAGCGAGATTCGAGGGTTCAATAAATCCGAAATTTAAACAGCAGGCTGGGTGGATGCTAACGAAAAAATAAAAAATAAGGTCGAAAACCTGCTGAAGGCTTTTTTTCTGAACGCGCTAACCTATAAAAGTATCATGATTTCGGTCATTAAGCAAAGAGCCTATTTGCAGAACATTTCATCGAGGTAAAAGTTTTACAATAGAATAAGTAATTTAGGGGAGTTTTTCCTCCGTCGCCATTATACTAGCACACGAGTGAATTTTATCGCCGTAAAAGCTTTACGAGCGAAATTTATAATTGGATAATAAAAAATAAAAAAAAAAATAAAAAGAAAATATGTCTTCTACATGTCGGAATTAAATTTTTATGTTACATCTATTTTAAATGAATTTAAAATTTCATAGTGCTTAAATCAAGTTATTTTAACAAGATAATATAGTAAGAAATAGAGTACTTTTATTTGTTATACTTACTTTTCCATGAGGAGAGTTTTATCAGTAGTTGCCAGGTTTGGCAGGCGGATTAGCAATCGCAGTTAGCTTCTGTTAATGTTCCTAAAGGAATACTGTTACCCATCTTTGGATCATTATGTTTCCTTAGTCCCTTCTTACGACTTACACGGAAAAGGAAGGGGTCGCCCATTTAACCAGAGCAAAATTGATCACAGCTGGTCTTCGGCGAAGACGGGGAATGGAGGGGCTGCTTAAAAAAGGCATATCTGAACAGGTTGTTCACGATAAAAAGACACGCCCCTCTGTCACGTCTTTGAGAAGTTTCGTTCGCATCCTAGGGTTGGTAACAGCCAATTATGCGGTGGGCTCGATCCACCTAACTGCGGCAATACACCTGCCAAGCGTGGCAACTACTGGCAAAACCTCCCCCTATGGAAGAAACCTATGTTCAGAAATGGACAGTTAATGGCCGTTTTTACTCATATTATTCATAAAACACTTTTAGTCTTCCAGAAATGGTTATAATAAGTACTTGATCAGATTCGATATTCAAGGGATTTTATTTACTTATTTTTTATTTATTTATTTATTTAACACTTTATTGCACCAACATTACAGGATTTGTTGAAAAATTTTCAATACGTATAGTGTAGTACAAAAGGCGGTCTTATCTTACATCCAAATATATATATATATACTCGCACATACATACACATACACATATAAATATATATACATACATATACATATATACACATAAATACATACAAATATCACCACTACAAATAATACCACTAATACATATATATATATAACACACATAAAGCTGGAAATACGTAGGACTAAGTGATAGCGATTTTTAACCAATTTCATAAAGGAGGAGGTCCTCAATTTGGGTATATTTCATTTTTTATGTTTGTTACCTCAGAACTTCGTTACTTATAAATCGATTTGGATTTTTCTTTTATTTAAAAGCATATACTATCAGACAAGCGACTTTTGTACAAAGTCTCCCTCTGGTAAATAATAATCAACTTGTTATGTTTGTTTGTCTGTCAGTTTGTGTGTAAAAAGTGGAGACATCATTACGTTGAATATAGAAAGGATTGCTTCATTAATTATAAAGGTATTCATTTGTACACGTATAGGTATAGTCTGCAAACGGATAACCTCAAATTCATAGAATTAACACATAACGATACTTTGAAGTGCGCACTTAGGCTTTGGATTAATGTAATAGATAGTGGTTTAGAAGGATTTTAGGACCCTTTTAGGACGAGTTTTGTACTCAATAAATAGTTATTGAAGATGGTTTGTAGAACGGCTTAATTTCTAGTATAGAAAGATAGGTGAATTATATGAAGATTACGTTTCAATAATTATTAATATTGTAAATGTGAAAGTAAGTTTGTATGTTACGTTATAGCGTATTAACTGCTCGATAAATGATTATGAAATTTGGTATATAAGGTATTACTGCCTGCATCTTGAAAATTCGTCATTATCCTACCATGAAATGTTTTCCGAAATTTGGGGAATGAATGAAACATAGGGAGACTTTGTACAAAAGTCGATTGCTTGGGTACCTCTGTTCCATTCGTGTTTCAACCGTGAAGCAGTTGTGTTTGCATGGCTGTGTTTCGGTTTGAAGGGTGGGATATGGCGTGAATTTACTGGGTACAGAGGAATAACACCTGAGTCCTCAGGAATGGCAACGCATGGGGGGTATCATGAGCAAAACAGTATACTCTGTAATGTCCATAGTACTGCTCATGTCTATAGGCGACGGCTACCACTTTCCATCAGGTGGGCCGTCAGCTTGTTTGCCATTCTAAGTTGCATAAAAAAAAAATACATAAATTTCATGTTAAAATTACATAATACAAACCGTTTAAAAATGTTAAAATAGAACTTTTATGGCTTCATTTATGACGAAATGTTAAACTCCATTTAATAGATCGATTTCAGTATGAATGAAAACACGAAATTGAATTTGAAAATTCGGAATTTCATTTCATGGTAGTCCCCCATACTAAATCATAACCTATCGTCCTTCGCTAATACTCTCACATCGTAAACCAATAGAACAGACGGTTATAAATCAATTTTAATTCATTACAAATGTATGAACTGATATTTTGTAACTGTTAATAAATATAGTTTCTACATAAAAAAAAAAATTCTAAAATAAAAGTTACAATTTAAAAAAAAATCCTAGACAGAGTATTTAAAAATTAAAAAAGTATCCAGTAATTAAGAGTAAAAGGCTGAATAATCTAACAATCTGCCGACAGCCCACAAGTTCAAAGACAACCCGAATACAAGCTTAGGGGCAATAAAACTGTGAGCACAAAGAATGGATTAAACATGTAACTCCCTTTACGCACCAACTCTAAATTTTACTTAGCCTATTTAATGGCAGAAATGAAGATGTTTAGATTATGGAAGCGACATACAGTTTTCACCAGAACATCATGGAATTACTAAATATTAAAAAAAAAATTATCCGCGATTCGTAGTTGAGACCTATTAACTGACATATATATTATTATAAAAAAAAAAAATTGCTTCTCCATCTATTACGTGTATACCAAATACTACGATTCGTTGAATAGTGGAATTACTAAGGCGTCACAAAAAACTTTCATATTTATGTTTATACTAACTTTTACCCGTTATTTCATTCTCGTGACTGCATTAAGCAGTAGCCTATATTCTTCTCCATCCTTTATAGTCCTTGATCATTTGATTTCATAATGCTAGATTGATACATTAAGGCAATAAGAGTTAATAAACAAACTCACTATCACATTTATAAAGCCACTAGCTTCTATCTGCGACTTTGTACATTTGACCAGAACATGTTAACTGGCTGAAAAGTAGCCTATATTTTTTCCATTTCATATAGTACATCTACTAAATTTGATTTAGTAGATGTTAAGTTAAGTAGTTAAGGTGCCATAAGATAACAAACAAACAAAACAAATTCATTTTCACATTGACAATATTTGCAAGGATAGTCCCATTCGTGTTTCTACCGTAAAGCAGTTGTGTTTGCATGGCTGTGTTTCGGTTTGAAGGGTGGGATATAGCGTGAATTCACAGGGTACAGAGGAATAACACCTGAGTTTTCAGGAATGGCAACGCATGAGGAGTATCATGGACGAAACAGTATACTCTGTTATGTCCATGGTACTGCTCATGTCTATGGGCGACGGTTACCACTTTCCATCAGGTGGGCCGTCAGCTTGTTTGCCATTCTAAGTTGTATATAAAAAAAAATCCACAGAGACCTTTGCATATAGGGGGGGGGGGGAAGCTTGTAAAGTTCATACAAAAGAGTAACACTGTGTATATAATCGTCGTGTGTGACCCAGCATAGAATGGCCCACCCTTACTTTCCCGTGGGCGTCGTAAGAGGCGACTAAGGAAGGGTAAGCGATGGGCAGCAGCGACCTTCTTAAAATATCTCTAAAAGCCTAACTGCGGTTGCTGATCCGCCTGACAAGTGTGACAACTACTGGCAAAATTTCTCTTATACGGAAGGCTTATTTCCAGCAGTGGACAGTTAACGGTTGAAATAATAATAAATATATATAATAAAAAATTAGGATAAGATAATTATCTTATATTCGCATATGGGGTCAGCTAAGCCGATGCACGTGGACCCATTGGGATCTTTTGTGCTTCCCCCTGCCTTATACCATCATTTCATAGATCCTTTGTGTTACCTTAACGATATCTCGCGGTTTAAGATATCTGTAGTCCCCTGGTTCAATTATGATCCTATTATGTCTGTCGTTTCCAACAATTGTTTCTAAATTTATCCGAAAATTTTCTTTTGGGGGCATACAGCGCTTTCTATCACAGCGTCTCGTTTCGCACTGCGGGCTGCAGCTCGAAATTCCTTACATTTTGTCACATCTAGTCAGATCCTTACATCCTGGATCCTTGATAATGTTGCCATGTCAGTTGTTTTATGTTAAAGGAAAAGTTTGTTTTGGAAAACACACCCCTAGGCTTGTAGTAAATTAGTCCATCCCTTGTAACACAACCCCAAGGTAATGGGGATAATGATATATTTGAGCATGTCTCTCATTTCTCTGTTATGTCCTTGGTTTTATTCGACATTTCTTTTATTTCCTAGAAAAATTTAATTGTAAAGCTATTTCATTACTTAATACAATATTCGATATATTCGAATTTTCAACCGACTTTAAAAAAAAGAAATTCTCAATTTGGCTGTATTTTTGTTTGTTTACTCATAACTCCGTCACTTCCACACGTTAGTCCCATCTTTCTGGTGAATTAATGTCCTATGAGTCAGGGCGGATCGTTTATTTTATTAGTTAGTGTTTGTTTTATGTGGTTTACTCTTTTGAGGGCAAAGTAATGAACTGAGTTGTCAGCATTTTGTGCTTTTTTTTTGTATATTCTTTTTATTGTACACAAACATAATGTTAAGAACAATTAATTTAAACGCAATGTACTAAGGCGAGCTTATCCCTAATAAGAGATTTCTTTCAGCAAACCTTTTCAATTTTGTGTATGTATTTTTATCTATTTTTACTGCGTTTGTTTGTTTGGTCCTTTTGCTAATTGCAAAAGAACCCAAGTAACAGATGTAGCCTAAAGGATAAGCAAGCTGAGCTGGCAATGGGCTGGTCATATAGCTTGAAGGATCAACTACCTCTGGCAAGAAAAGTTCTTGAGTCGTGACCCCTTACAGGCAAACGCAGTGTAGGATGACCCCCCACTAGATGGGGTAACGATCTCAAATGCATTTCATGGAGTCAATGGAAGCAGGTGGCTCGGGATCGTTCTTTATGACAGTCTATGGGGGAGGCCTATTCCCAGCAGTGGACGGATAATGGCTGAATTGATCATGATAATAATGGACACCTTTACAAATTATCACATTTACAATTTTTTTTTATGGATGAAAATGGTATGGTAACCCCGCTTGCGCTAATGGGACACGTTGACGGGGCACCAGTGAATGGTGATCGATGAGGATGAAAACAGGCCAGTTAGCCCATCATGATGAATTCATCAGGAATTAACCATGATAGTTTCCAGGGGGAACCGCGAGGAGGTCGACCTGGTTGGGTATATTGCTAGCAATGGGATGCTTAGTTCCCATTACTAACAATCCCTTTTCCCCTATTCACAATATTAACAAGATTAGTAAGATTACAGAAGTTTGTAGTGTCTAAGTAAAAGTGAAGCGTATTATTGAATTTGCATAGTCTAGTCTAGGCTTAATTGGATCGCGTATAAGGGTAGTAATACACTGAGGGGCTACAGAGCTTAGAGCGCGCTCGATACTCTGCGCTCTTTGTAGGGTTGTCACAAAACTATTAGATTAGATTGCGTTTCGACTTGAAGACTACGACTAGATAACTCTTGTAATTGTTCTTTGAATATGAGATTAGTTAGTGTATTAGTTTATAGATTTTTTTTATGGCTCCGTATATAATTAGTATATTTAAAGATAATTCGTAAGAAATTTAGTAGTAGGTAGGCTTTAACTAGCTTACTACCAAAATCGGACTACGATTAGCTGAAGTAATTTACGAAGAAGTCTCGTAATATAAAAGTAACGACAGCTCAGTTGTTAGAAATGGTAACATATAATGTGTTCTGTCTTACTGGAATATTATTAATATGAAAGTGAGTTTTTTCTTGTGCAACCTAAAATGCTATATCTGGTGAAGAGGGACACAGATTACTTTTTATCTTGGACAATGAATATATCACGATCACGCGGACAAAGTCGCGGGTAAAAGCTATTACATTACTTACATAGAAGTGATGAATGATGCATGTCATACTTTTTGATATAATTTTGACAATATATATATATATATATATATATATAAAGTCGATTGCTTGG